GTAGAAATAAATTTCCTTTCACTTATATAATTATGGATATATTTTAAAAACTTGGAAACTAATATGATATAATAATTACCAAGTGGACATTGTTTAGCCTGCTCAAGAAAGGTAATACAGTTTTTACTGCTAACTCCCTTAACTACAGCTTTTGCAGTTAAAAAAAAAGAAGACATATTTCAATTTTTTTAAACAAGGGGGTGGTGATGTTAATGTAACCATATGGTGCGCTATTTATTTATCCACCGCTTAGTGGAACAATCACAAATCGGCACACATACGGTGGGTAAAAATACGTTCTTTTGATATGTATGTGATCAAGCACACGATTTTTACAGCTGATCATGGCTTATGCACTTCTTCTCGTATATTACTTGTGCAGCGTGTTTGTGCAGTCCCAGCTAGTATGATATAAATATTTAAAGGCATTTGAACCTAATTACCATTTAGTAATTAGGCAGAACCCTTTCAATATGATTAATTAAGAAAGCAAGTTACAAGTTAGGACTACTAATAGAACTAAGTCTACGTCTTAGAAACTCAATGAATATCACTACTACAACTCTAACCTAGAAGAAAATTCAGTAGTCCCTTCGAATGGAACATTAGAGAACTCTTTAACTTTGGTGTTTGTGACCTTTTTCAATTTTAGTTCACAAATTCAATGTCTACCCTTACTACAAACTGATTAATGCTTATATTTATATCATTCATTTATGTGAGAGAGGGGGTAACCACGGTTGTTTCCACCTCTTGTCTAATGGTATATCTGACTCTGAGGGATACATTTAATAATTAATTGCTATGTTGGCCATAGCGGTAATCCATAAATGATGTCACACTATTTTGACTGATATTTGACATCACAAATTAGACACTTATCAAATATAATTAAAAAAATGTGTCTGTGCATCCATGTCGTATCATCGTGTGTGCCCCCCCACCCCCCTGTAATATTTTTATGAACAGCCCCTTGCCCTTGTTTGCTTGTCAGATTATTGATTATTATAGGCACTTTGATGAAAATGTCTAAACATTTTAAAAAATATAAAACTACTACAGCTGTATAGAGCCAATAGAGTGGTTTACAAAAACACCAAGATCAACTTTCTAGCTCAAGTGGTTCAAAAGTTATGAATTTTTTAGTATGGACCTCAAAAGCACTTTTTCACTATGGGATTTTCCTCCACATTTCGTCCCCCTTATATTGCTATTGTTTTTATGCCTATAACTTTGTTATAAAATGAGACAAAAATATAATATTTACAGGGAACACAGTTAAATATGAGTTCTTCAAAATTAAGCCACAAAATACAATTGTAGCTTTTGTTAATATTCCGCAAAAAAATATTTTTAATCTTGATAATTTTCCTTATTAAAATGTATCAAATATGCTGACTCGTCACTTATTTGTATTTAATTAATATATTTTTTAAAAAC